CACAGAAAGACACACACACACACAGAAAAACACACACACATTACCACACGTTAAGAGTTTGATGTAAACGATGGTTTGTGGCCTCACACTGTCACACCGATTCCTGTCACAATGTTCAGCCGCACTGATCAGACAGTCACAATAAACGCATTGAGATATTGGAGTTATTCAGACTCTGGAGACACAGTGTGTTACTTACTCCAGTCTCTGTATTTTACACTCCGGGTTCCTCAGAGCCTCACACAGTCGCTTCACTCCACAATCTCCCAGATTATTGCCCCTCAGCCTGGACACAGAGACACAAACATAGGGAATATAGTGTAACAACACAATACACATTGACATGTATATACAGGAGCCTTTCACGTGGGGAGCTAGTCCCAAGGCGCTGGGACCAGGGTCACACACACACACATGTGCACACACACATCACAGTCTCACTCTCTCTCTCTCTCTCTAATTCTCTCTCTGTCTCTCCCTCAAAACAGTCACTACGTTTTATAATATATTCTCTTTCACCGTCTCTCTCTCTGTCTCCATCTTTGTCTTTCAATTTTTGTTGGTCTCTCTCTTTCAGTTTCTTCTCTGCCTCTCCCACAAATCACAGTTGTTGTACGTTATAACATACTCTCTCACTGTCTCTCTCTTTCTCTCATTCTCTCTCTCGCTGTCTCAGTCTCTTTCTCTCAGGTTCTCTAAGGCTGTCCCTCATTCTCTCTCTCACTCCGTATCTCTGAGTCATTTTCTCTCTCAGTCTCTCTCTCAGTCTATTTCTCTATCTCTCCCGCAATTCCTCCCAATCTCTCCCTCTCACTCTCTCATTCACTCTGTTATCTGTTTCCCCCGAAAACACACATTCGCTACACATTAAAATATATTTTCTCTCTCTCTCGATCTCTCGCTCTCAGTCAATCTCATTCAGTCACGATCTCTCTCTGTCTCACCGACGAAACATACACTCACTGCACATTATAATATCTCTCCATTTATGTCTCACTCAGTCTCTCGCTCTCTCTCTCTCAGTATCTCTTTCTCGTTCTCTCTTTGACAGTCACTCTCACAATGTCGCCCTCTCTCTCAGTCGCTCATTCTCGCCCTAAAGTCTCTGTCTCTCTCAATCTCGATCTCTCACACTCTCTCTCTTCCCCTTTCTCTCAATCTCTTCGCCTCTGTGTTTCAGTCTATCTCGCTTAGTCTCTCTAACTCTCTCCCTCTCAGCCTCTCTCTTTCTCGGACTATCTCTCTCTCTATCTCTGTCTCTCAGTCTCTATGCCTCTCGTACTCTCAGACTGTCTTTCTGTATCGGTGTCTCTCAGTATCTCTTTCTGTCTCACTCTCACAGTCTCTCTCACTCCGTGTCTCTGAGTCACTTTGTCTCTCGGTGTCTATCTCTGTTTGTTACTCTCCCTCTGTCGCAGTCACTCTCTATCTCTCATTCTCTCACTCAGTTTGTCTCTCAGTCTCCCTTTCCCAGTCTCTCACTCTCTCTCAGTCTCTCTCTCTCAGCCATTGGATCTCTCAGTCTGAGCCATTCAGACTCTCTGTCTCTCTCCCAGTATATCAGTCTTTCTCAGTGACTCTCTGATTCTCTCTCCTCCTTTCTTTCTACTCTCTTTCTCTCTCTCGCTGTCTCTTTCCCTCTCTGTCAGTCTCTCTCACTGACTCTGTGTTTTCTCTCTCTCTCTCTATCTCGCTCTCGCAATAACTCTCTGTCACCCACAAAACACAGTGTCACTCTACTTTATAATATCTCTCACAGTCTCGTTCTTTCTACGTTTTTCTCTGTCATTCTCATTCAGTCTCTCACTCTGTCTGTCTTTCTCTAAGTAGTTCTCTCTCTCAGTCTCCCTCTTAGTTTCCTTGTCTCAGTCTCTATCTGATTCTTTTTCTATCCCTCTTTCTCTCTCTCAGTCTATATCTCTCAATCTCGATCTCTATGTTTCACTCTCTGTCAGTCTCTGTCTTCATCTCTCGCTCAATTTTTCTCTACTCAGACTCTCTTCACGATCTGTCTCTTTTATTTTCTCTTTCTGCCTGTCTCTTAGTCCCTCTCATAAAAAAGTCAATACACGTTATATTTCTTCTCCCCTAGACTCTCTCTTTCTCAGTCTCTCTCTCTCTCTCTCTCTCAATCTTTCTCTCAGTCTCTGTATCTCTCTATCCCTCTCTCTCTCTCAGTCCCCCTCTATCTGGGTCTCTCTCACAGTCTCTCGCGAAATATTTTTTTCAGGGGATTATTAACCCTGGAAACGCGATCTGCAAACTCACTAACAATCGGATTGTGACTGACTGTGAGGCAAACAGACACGAGTGGAGTAAGGAAACATCCGTAAGGTTTTGACCTGTCAGGAATCACCCCCAGGCCCTCTCGCTAGCGAGGCGAGGGCTCTAACCACTGAGCTACAGGGCTCAGACTGCAGTGTGTGAGCAGACACAGGCTAACTCAGGGCTGAAGCTGTGTAGACTTTATTCTGGGTGAGGGTTTTGCACAGACGTTTTGTAAAGATACCAACTAAACACTACCTCAGGATATGATTTCTCCACAAATGTATTTGCGTCCGGGAGCTAAAGCCGTTTGGGAATACACATGGAATCATTGACCTGAGTGAGTTAAACGTCTCAGGATTAGGGAGGAAGCCCCAACATCATACATGTCTGAGCCGGACACACACACACACACACACACATAGAACCCGCAAACAGACACGTATGTACACACAGATACAAAAACAAACATACACTGTGGGACAAGAGTCAGAAACACCCGCACACGTGCACACACGCAAACTGTTTCTGTCCCTCACAGTCTCTCTCTCGCTCTCCGTCTCTCTCTCTCTGAATCTCAATATCCGTCTCTGTCTCTGAATCTCTCTCAGTCTCTCTCTTTCAATCTCCCGATCGCTCTCTCTCTCTCTTTCTGTCTCTCTCAGTCTCTCACTCAATCCGCAGTTAGCATACTTGGTAATATATTCTCTCTCACTCTCTCTCTGACAGAGTCTCACTCTTTGTCTCTCTCAGTCACTCTCTCTGTCTTTCAATCGCGCTCTCTCTCAAACTCGTTTTCTCTTTCTCTCTCTCTCTCCCTCAGTGTCTCTCTTTTCTCTCTCTGTCTCTCCCACAAATCACAAAGTAAGTTCACTTGAAAATATAGTTTCACTCCCAGTCTCTTATCAGTCCCTTTCTATCAGTATATCTCTATGGCTCTCTCGCAGTCTCTATTTCTAACTGTCTGTCTCTCTCTCTCTCGCAGTCAGTCACTCTCTCTCCTATTCTCTCTCTCTCATTCCCTCTCTATCTGTCACAGTTTCTCTCTCCGTGTCTCTCCAAAGCATAGTCACTGCATTTTATTATTTATTTTCTCTGACAGTCTCTCTCTCTCTGTCTTTCTCTCTCTCTCTCTCTCTCTCTCTTTCTATGTCTCCCTCTCTGTCAGTTTCTCTCTCGGTCTCTCTGAAAAACACATTCACTACACTATACAGTATATTTTCTCGGAGTGTTTCTCGGTCTCTATCTTCCTCACATTCTCTCTACCCACCTCAGTCTCTGTCTCTCTCTCTCTCTCTCTCTCTCTCTCTCATTCACAGTCCCTCACTGTCTTTCCAACATAATTCAAAGTCACTACACTTGATAATATATGTTCTACACAGTCTGTTTCTCTCCCTCTCAGTCTCTCTTTCTCTCAATCTCTCTCTCTCACACAGCAAGACTCTCCCTCGCTCTCTCTTTCTCTCGGGCTCTCTGAGGCTCTCGCTCAGTCTCTCTCTCACTCTGTCTATCGCTTTCTCAATCTCTCTCAGAATCTCTTTCTCCGTCTCTACCGCGGTTTCTCCCTTTCTCTCTCTCTCTCTCTCTCGCTCCCAGTCTCTCTCCGTTACTCCAAAAAAACACACAGTCAATACACTTTAAAATATTTTCTCTCACTGTCTCTCTCTCCGATTTTTTCTCTGTCGCTCTCTCAGTTTTACTTTCTGTTCTGCTCTCTTTTTCTCTCTCTTTCTCTCGTAGTCACTCTCTCTTTTATAGTCTATTCCATTCCCTCTCTCAGTCGCTCACTGACTCTCTCTCGCTCTGTATCTCTCATTGTCTCACTCTCTGTATCTCATTCTCCACAAAACAGTCACTACGCTTTGTAATATATTTTCCCTCATAATCTCTCCCAATCTCTCTCTGTCACTCTTTCCCGATCTTTCTCTGTAATAATAATAATTATTATCCTTGCATTTGATATAGCTCTTTTCATGTCGGGAGGATGTCCCAAAGCGCTTCACAGAATATACTGTAAAGTGAATTGACTGTATATTTATGGGCGAACGCGGCAGCCAATTGCGCACAGCAATGTCCCACAAACAGTCGTAGATTGAAAATGACCAATTTATTGTTGAGCTTTTTTTTGGAGGGATTATTATTAGGCTCTGTGTGGAGTAAGGAAACTTGCCCTGAGGTTTCGCCCTCTGCCTGGAATTGAACTCAGGTCTCTCAGTTGCAAAGCGAGTGCTCTAACCACTGAGCTACAGGACTCCACGACTGTAAGTCAGTCTCTCTATCTCTCCCATGAAACACAGGCACTGCACTTTATAATATATTTTCAGTCTTTCTCAGTCTCTCTTCCTCTCAGTCTCTCGCTCTGAGTCGCTCTCTCTCTCTCTCTCTCTCAGTCTCCCTTTATCTCTAACTCAGTCTCTCTCTATCTAACTCAGAGTCTCTCTCTTTGCCTCTCAGTCTCTCTCTCTCTCTCTCTCTAACTCAGTCTCCCTCTCAGATTCTTTCTCTCTGTCTCTCCCACAAAACACAGTAACTACACTTTATAATATATTTTCTTTCACAGTCACTTTCATATTATCTCTCACTCTCCTGAGACTCTCTCTCAGTCTCTCTTTCTCTAACTCATTCTCTTTGTCTCTCTCTTTTTCTCTCAGTATCTCTCTGTGTCTCACAAGAAGAAAGTCACTACACTTTATAATATGTTCACACTCACCCTCTCTCTCAGTCAATCTCTCGCTCTCCGTTTCTCTCCCAGTCTCTCACTCCGTTTCTCTCTGAGCCTCTCTCGCTATCTCTGACTCTGTTTATCTCTCACTTAATCTCTCTCTGTCTCTCGCTTTGTCACTCTCATTCTCTCTTTCTGAATCTGTCTCTCTCTTTATCAGCCTCTTACGCTCTCAGTCCCCGTCTGTCTAACAGTCACTCACACGTTTTCTCATTGTCTCTCTCACAAAACAGTCACTGCACCTTATAATATATTTTTGTCTCAGTCTCTCTCACTCTATCTCTCTCTGTGTCTCTCAGAATACACAAAGTACTTACTATACGTTATATTTCCTCACACATTCTATTTCTCGCTTTCTCTTAGCCCCTCTCTCTCTCTGTTCTCTCTCAGTCGCTTTGTCTTAGTCTCTCTCTCAGTCTTTTCCACAAAACAGACTGTACACTTTATAATATATTTCCCCCCTCAGTCTCTGTCTCACAGTCATCGTGTCTAATTCAGTCTAATCCTCTCTTTCTCTTTGGTTTTCACTTTCTCTCTCTCTCTCACGCAGTCTCTCTGCCTCTCGCTCTCTCTTTCTCTCATGAAGACGCTCTCTCAGTCCCTCTCAATCTCTTTTTCTAACTCTCTCTCCATCTCTCTCTGTATCTGTCATTCTCTCTCTCTCTCTCTCTCTCAGTCACTCTCTCTCATTTTCACTCTCTCAGTCTCTGTCTCACCCCCAAAACATACTGTCACTACAATACACAATATTTTCTCTGTCACAGTTTTTTTCCACTCAATCTCGCTCTGCCTCTCGCTGTGTCTTTCTCTCATTCAGTCGCTGTCTCAGTCTCAGACTCTCTCTGAATCTCTGACTCTTTCCGTCCGTCCATCTGTTAATCTTCCTGCCTGTCTGCCTGTCTGTCGGTGCGGGACTGTCTGTCTGTATGTCACTCTGATATTCTGTCTCTCTGTTTGTCGGTCTGTCTCTCTGTCTGTCTGTCTCTCACTCTGTCTCACTATCTCTGTCACTCTCTCTCTGTCTGTGTCTGTCTGTGTCACTCTCTTTGTGTCTGTCTCTCTCTCTCTATCTGTCTGTATCTCTCCCTCTTTTTGTCTGTCTCTCTGTCTGTCTATCACCCCCGCTCCACCCATCAATCTCTCTGTCTCAGTCTCTGTCTATCGCTCTGTCTTTCTCTCATTCGGTCTCCCCTTCAGTCTCTCCCACAGTCTGTCGTTATGTCTCTCCCGGAAAACACATTCACTGGATGTTATATATCCTCTCATAGTCTCTTTCTCTGTTCTCTCTCTTACTCTCTCTCTCTGTCTCTCATTGTGTCTCTCTCTCAGTCTCTCTGTCAGTCTCTTTCTCTGTCTCTCTAACAATCTTTCTATCTTATCTCTCTATCTCTCTGTCTCTCTCTTACAGTGTCTCTCAGCCTCTTTCTCTCTCCGTCTCTCTTTCTCTCTTTTACGCAAAACTCACAGTCACCACAGCTTTTAATATATTTTCTCCACAGTCGCTCTCAGTCTCTCTCTCTCTGTTTATCTCTCCCAATTTTGTTCTCTCTCTCATAGTCCATCTGTCTCAGTCTTTCTTTCTCTCTGCCGCTTTCTCTTTCTGTTTCAGTTTCTCTCTCAGTATCTAACTTTCTCTCCAATTTCTCTCTCTACCAGGCTCTCACTCACACCATTTCTCTATCTGTCAATTGCTCTATCTTTCTCTCACTCAGTCTCTTTCTCATTCTTTCTCTAAGTCTCTCGCTCTGTGTCTCTTATTCTCCCTCTCTCACTGCTTCGCTGTTTATCTCTCAGTAGCTCTTTCTGCCTCTCTCTCTCTGCCTGTCAGTCTATCGTGCTCTCATTTTCTATCTCTCGCTCTTTCTTTCAGTATATCTCCCAGTCTGTCTCTCTCTCTTTCTCTCGCTCCCAGAGTCAGTGTCTCTCTTTGTCCGACTCTCAGTCTCGCTCTCCATCTGTCGCCGTCTTTCTCTCATTCAGCCTCTCGCTCAATCTCTATCAGCATCTTTCGCAGTCTCTCGCTGAATCTCTCCCACAAAGACATAGTCACTACAAATTATATGTCCTCTCACAGTCTGTACCCCTTTCTCTCAGTCTGTTTATTTCTTTGTCTCTCTACCAGTCTCTTTCTCTCTCAATCTTCTCTCTCAGTCTTTCTCTCTCAGTTTCTGTCCCACTGTCTTTCCCACAAAACACAGAGTCACTACGGTTTGTAATATATTTTCTCCACAGTCACTCTCAGTTTCTCTCTCTCTCTCTCTCTCTGTATCTCTCCCAGGCTCTTTCTCTCTCTCGTAATACTCTCTCTCAGACTAACTCTCTTTTTCTGTCCTTCGCTTATCTTTCTCTCTCCCAGTTTCTCTCTCTCTCAGTATCCGTTTCTATCTCAGTCTCTCTCTCACAGTCTCTCCCTTACAGTGCCTCTCCCTCTGACTCAGTCTCTCTCTCTGTATATCGCTCTAACTTTCTGTCACACAGTCGCGCTCTTATTATCTTTCTCTTTCTGTGTCTCTCACTCACTCTCTCTCAGTGCTTCTCTGCCTCCCCCCTCCCCTCTCTGGGTGTCTCTTGCTGCCCACCTCCCTCTCTCTGTCAGTCTATCTCTCTCAATCTCTACCTCTCTCTCAGTCTCTTTCTCTCTCGCAGTTACTCTCTCTCTCAGTCTCTCGTGCTTTCAGAGAATGAGCGAGAGGGAAGCAAATGCAAAGTGACTGTGTGTTTTTCTTTGAGAGACAGAGAGAGAGAGAAGGAAACTGAGAGGGAGAGAGAGTGACTGAGTGACAAAGAGAGAGAATATGAGTGAGAAAAAAACTGCAAAAGAAATAGAAAATGAGACAGAGTTAGTGAAGAGAGGGAGACTGAGAGGGAGAATACATTATTAAGTGTATGGTAGGAGGCTTTTTCTCTCTCTTAGAGAGGAGACAAAGTGACTGACAGAGAAAGAGAGAGAGGCAGAGAGAGAGAGAAGCAAAGAGCCTGTGTGTGTATGTGCGTGAGAGAGCGAGAGAGACACACACACAGAGCGAATTTATTAAAAAGTGTAGTGACTGTGTTTTGTGGGAAAGAGTGAGAGAGAGACTCAACGGAAGAAGCAGCGAGTGACAGATTGAAAGAGAGACTGAGAGTGAAAGCAATAGACACAAAGTGAGATTGAGAGAGAACGAGAGAGAGACGAGGAGAAAGACTGACAGCGATAGGGAGAAAAAGGCAGTGAGAGATATATATCCAGTGTATTTTGTGGGAGAGACAGAGAGAGAGAAAGAAAGATGGGGAGAGACTGAGCAAGAATATATATGTCTGTGTAGCGAATCTGTGTTTTGCGGGAGTGACAGAGAGACTGAAACTGTGAGAGGGAAAGAGACTGAGAGAGAGACTGATAGAGAGAGACTTAGAGAAAAGAGAGATACAGACGGACTTAAGAGAGAGACAGAAAGAGAGAGACATAAAGTAAAAGAGACTGAGAAATAATATATTATAAAGTATATTGACTGTTTTGTGGGAGATGGAGAAACACAACTGTTTGTGGAAGCAAAGTGTAGCTGGTGTAAGAGACAGCATCAGATAACAATAATTATCATAATAATAAGCGTTGCATTTGTTACAGCACCTTATCTGGACAAGACGCCTTAACATTCTGGGCTGCTGGGGCAACAGGCAGTGGGATCTCCCCAGTGCCTGGTCCTCGCAGCAGAACAGTTTACGCTGCGTCTATTCCAGCAGCACTGTAACCCTCAGTCGGTGTGTGAGTGAGGCTAATGTCTTGGCTTCTGGAAGCCCGGCCTACAATCTCCAGGTTCTGGGCAGTGTATCTCTCTATTCTCTCGTTATCCAAACACTGTGTGTCCCAGACCTGGGAAAGAGAATCTCTGTGGCTGTGAGATTTCAGGAGCTGGAAATGGAGACTCTTCACCAGGGCCAGGGGAGCCGACACCTGTCAGACTGATGTCAGGCTGAGGGAGATGTGTTTGGGGTGAATTATATTGTATCAGTGTTATAACATTGTACTGGAGAGAGGGTGTGTCTGCCCCTGGATAAATGGGATGGCCAAGCCCTCGGGAGGTCTTTTTACCCTGGAATACAGCACTGAGGGAGGAGCTGCCGCCAGGAGGAGAGGATACAGGAATCCTCCGGCCGAACCACACGGTTCAGGAGAGTGAGCCCTCGGGTCCTGAGCTGGTAGGAAGCTCAGAGGCTTAGAGTTAGAAGGGTGTCTGTGTGTCAGAGACTCTGTGGTCAGGAGAACCATCTCCTGTATGAATAACCATGAAACACCGAATGGTGTCTCTGAACGTAAGCTCTGGTCTGTCTGACCTGGGATCAAGTTACAATTTATTCAATAAAGTGAGCATCCCAGTCGGGAGTCAGGAACCAATCCCAATAACATCAGCAACCTGGGAATGCCACCGAAGGGCTCAGGGTGTGGAGCAGTCAGGTGTGCAGTGGAATGTCAGCCATTCACATCCCAATCCCCCAGGACAGGACTGTGGTGTGTGACGGCCATCACAGTGTGACCCACTGTTCCCTCCAGCTGTGTCATACCATTCTCCCATTGATCAGCTGGTGTTTAATGTCATTAAATTCCTGGAGAATGGCTTTGAAATAAGAATAATAGGAATAAGATTTACAAACAGAGTAACTTACAGCAACTCTTGACACTTGTGCAGAGCAGCAACCAGACGCTGGAGACCCTCCTCCTGAATGTAGCAGTTCCTCAGATTCAGTTGTTTTATTGTGTCACACAGTCCAATGGCCTGAGACACCACAACACAGTCTATCGGTGTCAGTCTCAATGCTTTCTCTGAAGAGGAGTCACCAAATGTCAGTGTTTGTACAGAGCCCAGTGTGAGCTGTGCCAGGGCTTGATTCTGAGACTCAAACAGGTAGTGGAGTGTGTTCAGCAGCTTCCTTTTCGCAGTGACGGTGTCTGTGTCTCTGATCTGAGTTTTAACCTTCTCCTTCAGCCAATCGATCACCGCGCAGGTTGTCTGATGGACAAATGGCCCCAGAAACTCCTCCAGTGGCTGAGCTGCCCGTGGGGAGGAGAGACCCGCAACAAAGCGCAGGAATATCTCAAACCGGCCGTCCTCTTTACTGTGAGCTTGATAGAAGCAATCCTGAATACTTTCTGGATTCGGAGTCAGCAACTGAGCGAGTGCGGCTACAAACTCCTGGATGGTGAGGTGCGGGAATGTGTAGACCACGCTGTGCTCTGAAGACTCTCTCTCCACAAGTTCCATGAGAAAACCAGAGAGGAACTGCGAAGGCTGGAGGTTATATTTGAACAGATCTTCATCATTAAAGACAATGTTTCTCTGGGAGACTCCAGTGAAGGCCATCTCACCAATCTTCAGCATCACATCACGGGGGCTTTCCATCTTGACACTGTGATGTGATAGTATGTTATAAATATAATAGGAGAAGAGTTGTGTGACTGTCTTGGGAACTCGCTGTTTGTTGCTGTGTTTCCGTGTGAAGAAGGGTCCCAGTGACAGAGCGAGGATCCAGCAGTAGGACGGGTTGAAGCACATGGTGAACAGGATCTCATTTTCCTCCACGTGGCTGTAAACAGCAGCCGCCACCTCCTGATCCTCAAAGAACTTGTGAAAATATTCCCTTTTCTCTTCACCCACAAATCCCAGGATTTCAGCCCAGACACTGACCTGAGCCTTTGCCAGTAAATGTAATGCAGTGGGGCGGCTGGTCACCAGCACTGAGCAGCCCGGCAGCAGCTTTTTCTGTATTAAGCTGTAAACAATGTCAGACACATCACACAGGAAATCAGGGTCTGTGCACCTGCGCTGAGGCTCTGTGTCTCTCCGACTGTCAGCGAAATCAATACTGCCCCTAAATTCATCCAAACCATCGAATATAAAGAGCAATGTCTCTGGGTGTTTCCACAGCTCCTCCAGAACACCCCTGAGGTAAGGATACTGCTCCACGATCAGGCGGCTCAGTGTTATTCTGCAGTTTAGTCTGTTTAAGTCTCGGAATTTAAAAATAAAAACAAAGTGAAAGTGAGGATAGATTTTGCCTGTGGCCCAGTCATGGACAATCTTTTGCACCATGGTTGTTTTTCCAATCCCCGCCACTCCACTCACTACTGCGGAAGTCCCTGTGAAATTTCCAGATCCGCTTCTCTTGTAGAATTTTTTCATCCATGAAAACAAACCTCCTCCAGAGAAGCTGCTGTGGAACAATTTATCAATTCGGATTTTTTCCAGCTCTCCCCGGAGCTGCTTCTGTCTCCACTCCTCGTGGTCTCTGCCTCTCGCCAGCAGCTCATGTTCTACCAGTTCCCGGTCACGTACATCAGAAATAATAGTTAACTGCGTGTAGCGATCAACCAACTGAAACTCCTTCACCTTCTCCTTTATTAGGATGGTCTTCACTACCAGTTTCTCACATTGTTTGTGTAACGTCTCCTTGTGCAGTCGCTGAATGGCTTCATGTAGAACATTAAATAATCATAAATTCATCAGCCTTATTGAACAATAATACTTAGATTCAGTGTAAGGCCTTTCAAGGCAGGAGGACTGCCCAAACCACTGCACAAGATTTGTTGTTAAGTGTAGAAACTGTGTTTTCTTGGCAAACAGAGCAGCCAATTTGTGCACAGCGATGTCTGACAAACAGCTGTGAAATGAGAGACTACTTTTTTCGAGGGATTATTGGCCTAGAAACTGGGAGAGATAAACTCCCTTCTCTTTTAAATGGTGCGGTGGGATCTTTAAAATCCGCCTGAACAGGCAGAGAGGACCTCGGTTTAATATCCAAATGATGGCATCTCCGACAATGCAGCCCATCCCAGAACTGCACTGGATGGTCAAGACAGTCTTGTTGTTGTGAGCTTAAACCCACAACCTCTGACTCGGAGACAATAAAAACACCATCTGAGCCAGGCAAACAAGGGTTAAACCATTTGAATTTCCATGGTAGATTTTCGGCCATTGTATGCTGACTTGTGATAAGTTATCTCTGACTTATTGTGGAAAGATCATTCCAAATTAATATTTGCTGAAATAATTTAAGAATCCAATAAGGAACATCCCACCCCGACCCCCTCCCCACCGCTCCTCATCTCCCTCCTCTCCGCTACACTATCCCTGCCTCCTACCCCTCTCTCCCCTTCGTACTCCCCTCTCCTCTCCCCTCCAAACTATCCTCTCCTCTCCCTTACATAATCCCCGTTGCCCTCTGTAATCCCCTCTCCCATCCATAATCCCTTTTCCTCTCCCCTGCATATTCCGCTCTCCTCTCCCCTCTACACCCCCCTCTTACCCCGTACTCCACTCCGTACTCCCCTCTCCCCCCATACACCCCTCTCCCCTCCATACGCGCCTCTCCCCTCGATACTTCGCTCCCTTCTCCCCTCTCTTCGTTTATGTTTTCTGAATATCACCAGTGAATGGTAAACTAAAAAACTGTATTTCAGAAGTGATTTACTGTCTCGAAACGTAACCCTGTCACATACCTCTCAGATCACTGGGGACGTCGGGTACACTACGATCAATCGTCACTTCATCCACGAGACTGGCACCTGTTTGAATAGAGTTAATGACATTAGTTTGAAAGAACGGTGACTCAGTAAAATGTGAACGGAGGCACAGCATAACGTCACACATTACCTTGCTGCTGTATTTCAGTCATGATTTTGTTCAGTTTGGGCAAAATTGGCCTCATTTTCACAAAGGATTCCCACATCAATTTCCGGGCACGGGAACCTTTACCCATCACCAGGTTCAGAAGGAGTTTGGAGCTTTCTCTCCTCTGCCCACTGTTTGTGAGCTCAGTGAGTTTCTGCAGAGAGTGAGCAATAATATATTGAAGGTGGAGAGATCAGCAGCTGCATTGAAGGTTTTCCTGTACTTGCTAACTCTCCCTTCACAAACTGCTTTCCGCTGTGATCATTCCTTTAATCATTTTCCCTCCCTTTTCCTTCTCAAATTCAACTTGGGTTCTAACTTTCAACTCTCTAGTGCCTTGAGACTTCCTCGCCATGCGAACGGCGCTATAAAAGCACAACATTTGTTCTCTGTTTTGCGGTTCTGCAAACACTTCTTACACCACGCTGTACTGCTCCAACAGAACCATGTAGTGCATGACCTGCTCTATAACGTATCTGGTAGTCTGACAGGTTATTTGCTGTTCTAGTGATTTCCTGATAAAACAGCAGTACATGGGCCATGCAGTCAGCCATGGTCTTCGTGAGACATGAAAAATGAAAGGGAAACGTTACAATCTGAGTGAAACCTACTTTGTGCTCCTGGGGGCTGAAACATTCCTTCTGTGTCAGCCTTGAGCTGATGTCCTCCACGCCTTCCTCAATGGCCTGTCCCAATCTGTCCCGGTAGAATTTTGTCAGTCTGTGCAGCTGGTATTCGTCGTAGAGTGCCAGAGTCTCAGTGAATAAAGTATTTGTACCTGTGAGCGACCAATAAAAACGTTAGTCAGACAATATTTTCTTATTATTCCCTGAAACATGTTTCAGGAAGTATAACCAAGTTGATTGTTACAAAAGCCCAGAATAAATAAACCTCAATTGGCCTAAAACATTGTTTAGAAGCTGAAGTCAGACAGCAATCAGCCTGGCACAGTTGGTGTCTTTCAAGCTCCACATCAGGGCTTTGGCTTCATAGTCCAGCCTAACAATCCACTGCAGGACTCCCCTCCAGATCCTTTGCAAATTATCTTCCGTATATTTCCCTGTTTACTGACCCACCGCCAGTGGAAACAGATTCTACCTCTCAGTGGCATAACGGGATTTGAAAACGAGAGAGAGGATCTTCACGTCGATCAGTTCGGAAATTGGGAGCAAGAGAAGCAAAGCAATGACTGGTGGGATGGGGAGCAGAGTTTTGTGTGGTTTAGTATCCGGATGGCGGAGTGAATTGAATATTATGTATGGTGGAACTGTGGAGACCAGCAGGGAGGGCATTGGAAATCTGCAGAAGGGAAGTGCCAAAGTCGTGGATGAAGGTTTTGGCTGCTTTAGATGTGAGGTATGGAGAGAGGTAGCCAATGTGGTAGAGGGTTGATAAAAAANGGGTCTGTTAAGGGAACGAATGTGGGGGAGAAAGGATCGGACCTAACACCCAGTATGCGCACGGATTTGATGAGTTTGAGGGAGAAGCCGGAGAGGTTAAGGAGTTCAGACCCTCAGGAAGAAGATGTTGAGACTGAAATGTGTGGGTTCAGCAAGTCCCCGATCTTCCATTCCACAAATTGGGAATTTGCTCAACCCCATCAGAGAATAACTGGCCTTCCAATTCCAAAGTATGTGTGATAAATGTGCACGTTTGTGTTTAAAGTTACTTAATAAACACTTTAGTTTTGTTCAATATCATCTTTTTATGACATTCCTCAAAAACAGTTAAAGTGAAGTCATTACCTGTTGGTGTGTTGCGGGGTGTCTGATCCATACCATGGGTCATAGCAATGCCGTGTGTTCTTGCACTTTGTTCAGGCTCCGTAGAGGCCATCTCACTTGAATCTCCCAAAGTGGTGAAAACGTATCACAATGTTGTTGAGGAACACCAGATGTGGTCGCTGTTTCAGTCACCCCAGATGTGGATGTGTTTATTAATGGTAACGGTGACCATTTAATTGAATCATTGGTTTTCTCGTGGCTCTGTATTTTAGAGATATGTTTCTTTACCAGCAACTTCCAACAAGTCGCTCAATTGCTCAATTGCTGCTAAGTGCAGCCCAGTTGGTCAGGTTCGCAACAGGTGTTGAGCCTTATTTACGTTTTTTCTATAGCGTCTGTCACAAGGCTAAAAGGAAATCCAGATGTGGTGGCTCTGGCAATATCACCAGGTTCGCGTTTCCAATGGACTGTCCGTCTTCCTCACATTTGACATGTATCCTGCAATGAAGTAAATCACAAGATTGACGTTATGATAAATTCAGCAAATTAATTAGATATGCTCAGATTTCTCACTAAAACGCAATTACACATAAATGTACAAACGATTCTTGCAATTGTTTTCTTTCAAGTCAGGAGGATGTCTAAAAGCATTTCGCCGCTTACTGTGAATTATAGTGAATCAGTATTTTGTACACGAATGCAGCAGCCAATTTCACAGAGGGTGCGAGATAGGGAAGGGGGCGAGACAGGGAGAGCGGTACAGGCAGAGCATACAGTGTGGGTCACGCCCTCACTGCACACACGCACAGTCCGGGACAGGCAGAGCACAAAGTGTCCGCTCCATAGTTGGCCACAGTGAGAAGTCAAAGAGTTTTTGGTCAATGGCTAAAGCCGCGGCTTCTTGTTCTGCATTTGTCTCACAGTTTGTACAGAAAGACAGGAAACCAGGCGCTGGGGATGTGCAGAGCTGAACTCACAGCCTCTGTCACTCTCTGCTGCTGACAGTCACAGCACGACAGCAAAGGGCAAAAATAACACGGAAATCAAACACAGCTCAAATATAACATCAACACACAGCGAAAGCTCAAACTGGGGCTGTTTGTTTCACTGACAATCGGACAGTTGTGAATCGAGATTTGGCGTATGTCCTCTGATAATTTGAGCTGAAAAACCATGGTGTGTTGAGTTCGCTCATGTCACCACAATCAGGGCGTTACCCACACAGCCCAGAGCTGCAGCTTATATCGTTATTAACAGAGAAGCAGACCCTCAAAATGGCTGTCACAGGCCGGGATACAACAAAATGTCTGCTCTCAGCCACTGAGGCCTGGTAAAGCCTGGTGTGTGCCACCACCTCCATATCTACACACACAGACACACAGACAGAATGAGAGTGATACATATAGTCCGAGAGAGACACACAGAGAGAGATACATGCCGGCATCCAACGAGAGAGAGAGAGATTCACACTGTTAGATGAAGGGCTATTGCCAGAGAGAGAGAGAGAGAAGGGGGCGATACGGAGAGATCCATAAACATACAAACATGCAGGTACAGAGAAGAGAGAGAAAAAGTTACACACATGCATAGAGAGAGAGACACACACATTCACATGCAGTGAGATACACACACACACAAATGAGATACATGAATACGCTCACACCCAAGTCCAGAGAAACAGAGGCAAAGAGAGATGCAATCACACAGAGAGAAAGTAAGAGAGGCACCACAGAGAAAGAGATATTCACACACACACACACACACACACCAGCACAGAAAGGGAGATAGAGACACACAGAGAGAATGTTTCTGAACGTGATGTGATGTGTGTATCTCTCCCTAAATCTTATCATAGCTGTCACAGGCCTGGACAACACACACAATGACTACTCTAGACCACAGACCGGGTAAAGCCTGGTGTGTGCCACCAACGCCGCACGCATATACATACACACATAAACACAGAGACACACGCACACAGACACATATACACACAGACACGTACACAGACACATACACATGCACACACAAAGCGCCGCATAATCATACACATAAACATAAAACACATGCACTAATGCGCATACACGTACACACTCACACACATGTAGATACAGAGAGAGAGATACAGAACCAGAGAGAGAGATACATGTAGAAAGATATACAAGCAAACAGAGATGTACAGAGACACACAGAGCGAGAGATTCACAGAGATTCACTGCACGCACTAACACATACACAAATACAGGCACACCTTAATGCTGCAGGTGTCACACACAGGCCGGGAGAGGCAGGAGACACAGTGTGGGCACTGCCCTCCCTGCACCACAGTTGGCCACAGTGAGAAGTCAGAGCATTTTCAGTCAATAACTAAATCCCCGGCTTCTTGTTCTGCATCTGTCTCATTGCTTATACAGAAAAACAGGAAACCTGGTGCTGAGTGTACTGACCATATGGAATGTGCAGAGCTGAACTCACAGCCACTTGTTCCTCTGCTGCTGATAATAATAATAATAATAATCCTTGCATTTGATATAGCGCTTTTCACGTCGGGAGGACGTCCCAAAGCGCTTCACAGAACACACTGTAAAGTGAATTGACTGTATATTTGTGGGCGAACGCGGCAGCCAATTGCGCACAGCAATGTCCCACAAACAGTCGTAGATTGAAAATGACCAATTTTTTTTTATTATTGTTTTTTGGTTTTTTTGGAGGGATTATTATTATCTTGTTGATACTCGTCAACAAGGTGATGTCTCACCACTGTAATCATAGACAGACTGCAGACATGATAGTCACAGAACGAGAGCAAAGGGCATAAACAACATGTATATCAAACACAACTTAAATAAACCATAAACTTATAACAACAGCTCAAAATGGAACTGTTTTCACTGACAATCGGACGGTTGAGAATGTAGATTTCGTATAAATCCTCTTAATTTAAGCTGTAAAGCCATGTTGTATTATGTTCAGTTGTGTCACCATAAATAGGGAGTTACCCACACTGCCAGAACTGCAGTTTATATCTTTATTAACAGACGAACAACAGCGTTTCCATAAATGAACCATTTCCTTTATGGGCCTCAGTGAGATTCAGCAACAAGAAACTGACTGTAATACAAATACACACACAGTCAGAGAGAGAGAGAGAGAGAGAGATACATACAGCCAAAGAGAGTTTGATATAGAAAGATACTTTGCACACATAGGGACAGATAGGGATACACAGAGAGAGAAACACACATAGTCAGACAGAGAGTTAAATAAAGACAGAGACAGATACAAATACAGACTGGACAGAAACAGAAATACGGTAACACACAGACAGACATGTACGGACACACACAAACAGAGTTAACCACACAGATAGATACAGAGCGAGGGAGAGAGATACAGATACTCACAAATACACACAAAGTCAGACGGAGATACAGACAGACAGAAGATAGACAGAATGGATTATTACACACAGAAAGCCATCCACCAATTAACTAACAAGTGAATTCCTACTGACAGCTCGGTAAACAGGGGTGAGTTGTGTGTGGGGTAAAGAAACTTGCTTGAAGTTTTGCCCGGACCGGGAATCGAACCCACGTCCTCTTGTTTGGGAGGCGAGTACTATTTTGCCTGTGCTCCAACCACCAAGAAATCAACTTCAATTTCACAATCCTCTCACTCATTTCCAAATCATTTAATACCCTCGCATTACCCTCACTGTACGATCTGCTTAACTTCCCCCACACCTCCCCCACTCTCCTCTGCCAACCACTGTCTCCACATGGCTGGCTTTGGCCTCCTAGTTCCCCCCCGGCCTCACCCCCAACCACCCCCCAGGGCCTGCGTTAAACTTTCGGTGCCCACTCCCTCCACACCTTCAAGTCGTGCCTAATCGCCTTCCATTTTGTTCGTGCTAACTGTCACCTATTCCTCCCTCTCCCCTTAACTTGGGTGCAGACTCCTCCACTGTTAAGCGCTCCAGGACGCTACCCCCGCGTGTAGGGCGCCATGTAAATTTATGTTCGTGTTATCAGCTACAGGACTCCAAAAATCTGCAGATCAAAAGTGACCTGGTGCTGAGGTTAAACATTAATGTAAATGACGTTGAGATAATTAATGCCCTGAGCCTACCTCGGTGCTGCTCTTAGTGCCCAGTTGTTGACGGGAGTGAATTCCCTCCTCCTGGCCTCTCGCTCTCCGAGCTATCGATTTCCTGTTCAGAGAAAAGGATGTGTTCACTTGATGGTTCTGCCTCAGACACAGTAATCTACAAATGTGCTGCTGTCTGTCTGTCTGTCTGACCAACTTCTGGTGACAGAATCTCCTCTCTGTACCATGGTTGGCTGCAGTTCCTATCAGTGTGCTGGAAGCATCTGATTGGTTTGAATAAAGAAGATCCTACGCCCCAATTGCCATCTATATAGAAAGAGCATTCTGCCTTCAAATTATACAATCCATGTTTGTTTCAGACTTCTGGCACATCAACCTCTATGGCACACTATCCCTGATATTCCTGAGCCTCACAGGAAAGAATCCCGCCCTGTATCTGTGTCAGCGCATTGGGACATCCTCCCGAAGTGAAAGGTGCTACACAAATGTAAACTTGTTGTTGTTGTTGTTATCCTTGTTGAAGAAAAGTCTCGTTGGTGCAGAACTGGCTTCAATGTAACATGCCTGTCAATGGGAGTGGAAGTGGTGGACAGGTTGTGGGTATTGGGCGAACCAAAGTTGAAATGTTTCTCGAGTGGGATTAGGGTGTGGGCCGCCAGTTGGATCCCCTGATGTAAACTAACAGCTGATTGACAGGAGCGGCTGCTTCATTGCTGCGGGTATCAAACTCAACACAGGACAGGCAGAGCACACACTGTAGGTACTGCCCTCTACACACACACTCAAAGTCCGGTATGGGCAGAGCAAACAGTGTGGGCAGAGAGACAAACACACACCCACACAGATACATACACAGACACATACACACAGATACAGAGCGAGATTCAATGCTGGTGGAAGCAGAGCACAGTGTGGGTATTGCAGTTTATTTCTTGATTAATGGAGGAACAACAGCATTTCCACAAAAACATAATTACCTCTACAGGCCACAATGAGACAAAATAACCAGTAACTGACTGCAATACAGAGACAGAGAGAGGGATTCACACACACAGAGAAACATAGAGCGAGAAATATAGAGAGATAAAAATATGGCCTGAGAGGTGAGGCGGGGGCAAAGGTGCGTAATGTTGCGGAGGGGGCGGGAGGTAGACATGGAACTCATGTTTGGTAGAAAGTTGAGTTGTGTGACAAACAAGATGCACACACTCAGTCAGTGAGACCGTGACACAAACAAACAGTTACAGAGGCTGAGAGGCAGACAGAGATGCATACAGAAAGAGAGAAATACACAGCAAAACACAGATAGAGAAGCAGACACATACACTAACTGCTGCTGGTGTCAAACACAGCCTGAGACAGGCAAAACACACAGCGTGGGTGGGCACTGCTCTCCCTTCACACACACACACACACATCCCGAGTCAGGCAGAGCATACAGTGTGGGCACTGCCCTCCCTGCTCCATAGTTGGACACAGTGAGATGTCAGAGGGTTTTCAGTCATGAATTAACACATCGGCTTCTTATTCTGCATTTGTCTCTGACTAATTGTGCAGCAAAAAACAGGAAACCAGTTACTCAGAGATGTAACCACAGAGGGATGTGCAGAGCTGATCTCACAGCCTCTCGTTCCTCTCTGCTGCTGACAGTCACAGCACGAGAGAAATGGGCAAAAATGACAAGTAAATTAAACACAGCTCAAATATGCCACAAACATACAGCAACAGCTGTAACTGGAGCTGTTTGTTTCACTGACCATCGGACGGTTGAGAATGTGGATTTGGTGCAAATACTGTAAATTACAGTTGTAAAACCATGTTTCGTTGAATTCACTTGTGGGCACTGAATTGAGCGTTACCCACACAGCCCAGACCTGCAGTTTATATTTTTATTAACAGACAAACAGCAGTGTTTCCACAAACACACCATTTCCTCTCTGGGCCTCAGAGAGGCTCTAACCAGTAACTAAGTGGAAGGAACGCTGGGGCTGTGGCCATGAGGAGGGAGTGGGCCGGGGGGCATGAGGAGGGAGTGGGCTGGGGGGCATGAGGAGGGAGTGGAAAGGGGCTGGGGGCAGGAGGAGAGAGTGTGCTGGGGCTGGTGGTCAGGAGGAGGGAGTGGGTAAGTGGAGGGAGTAGGCTGGGGGCAGGAGGAGGCTGTGGCTGCTGGCAAGAGGAGGGAGTGTGCTGGGGCTGGGGGAAGAAGGAGAGAGTGAGCTGGGGGCAGGAGTGCGCTGGGGGCAGGAGGGGGCTGGGGGCAGGAGGGGGCTGGGGGCAGGAGGGGGCTGGGGGCAGGAGTGCGCTGGGGGCAGGAGGGAGCTGGGGGCAGGAGGGGGTGGGGGCAGGAGGGGGCTGGGGGCAGGAGGGGGCTGGGGGCAGGAGGGGGCTGGGGGCAGGAGGGGGCTGGGGGCAGGAGGGGGCTGGGGGCAGGAGGGGGCTGGGGGCAGGAGGGGGCTGGGGGCAGGAGGGGGCTGGGGCAGGAGGGGGGGGCAGGAGGGGGAAGGAGGGGCTGGGGGCAGGAGGGGGCTGGGGGCAGGAGGGGGCAGGAGGGGGCACACAATGTCTGCTCTGCATGATTGAGGCCTGGTAAAGCCTGGCGTGTGCCACCAACGCTGCGCGCACACTCACACACATAGACACTCGTACAGACACATATGCACAGACACATGCACATACATATACATATGCACACACACAGGCACATACGCACACAAACGGCGAAATACACCTACAGGAACCCACCCACCCATATACATACACACATATCCTCTTCTTGCCCCCAGCCCCCTCCCTCCTCTTGCCCCCAGCCCCCTTCCTCCCTCCCTCCTCTTTTTCCCAGCCCCCACCCTCCTCTTGCCTCCAGCCCCTTCCCTCCTCTTGCCCCCAGCTCCCTCCCTCCTCTTGCCCCCAGCCCCCTCCCTCCTCTTGCCCCCAGCCCCCTTCCTCCCTCCCTCCTCTTGCCCCCAGCTCCCTCCCTCCTCTTGCCCCCAGCCCCCTTCCTCCTCTTGCCCCCGAGCCCACTCCCTCTTCCCACCCCCAGCCCACTCCCTCCTCCTGCCCCCAAGCCCATTCCCTCCTCCTAACCCCCCAGCCCCAACCCACTCCCACCTCCTGTCCCCCAGCCCCAGCAAACTCCCTCCTCCTGACCCTCAGCCACAGCGCACTCCCTCCTCCTGCCCCCCAGCCTCAGCACATCTCGTCCTCCTGCCCCCCAGCCCCAGCACATTCACTCCTCCTGACACTCAGCCACAGCACATTCCCTCCCCTGACCCCCAGCCCCAGCACACTCCCTCCTCCTGAGCCCCAGCCCACTCCCTCCACCTGCCCCCAAGCACACTCCCTCCTATTGCCCCCACCCACCCACCCACACAGCACACTCCCTCATCCTGCCTCCCAACCACAGCACACACACTCCTCCTGCCCCCAACCCAAGCACACTGCCTCCTCCTGCCCCCAACCCAAGCACACTGCCTCCTCCTGCCCCCAACCCCAGCACACTGCCTCCTCCTGCCCCCAACCCCAGCACACTGCCTCCTCCTGCCCCCCAACGAGCAGCACTCTCCCTGCTTCTGCCCCAAGCCCAAGCCCACTACCTGCTCCTGCCACAAGCACCAGCCCACTCCCTGCTCCTGCCCCAAGCTCCCTCCCTGCTCCTGCCCCAAGCCCCCTCCCTGCTCCTGCCCCAAGCCCCCTCCCTGCTCCTGCCCCAAGCCAACTCCCTGCTCCTGCCCCAAGCCACAGCCCACTCCCTGCTCCTGCCCCAAGCCCCAGCCCCCTCCCTGCTCCTGCCCCAAGCCCCAGCCCCCTCCCTGCTCCTGCCCCAAGCCCCAGCCCCTCCCTGCTCCTGCCCCAAGCCCCAGCCCACTCCCTGCTCCTGCCCCAAGCCCCAGCCCCCTCCCTGCTCCTGCCCCAAGCCCCAGCCCACTCCCTGCTCCTGCCCCAAGCCCCAGCCCACTCCCTGCTCCTGCCCCAAGCCCCAGCCCACTCCCTGCTCCTTGCCTCCCAGCCCCATCAACACATAGCAGCAGCTCAAACTGGGGCTGTTTGTTTCACTGACAGTCGGACTGTTGAGAATGTAGTTTTGGTGTCAATCCAGTTAGTTTGAGCTGTAAAACCATGGTGTAATGAGTTTTCCTCGTGTCACCACAATCAGGGTGTCACCAACACAGCACAGAACTGCAGTTTATATGTTTATTAACAGAGAAACAGCCACTGAAAATGGCTGTCACAGGCCCGGCCCGGTACAGCAAAATGTCTGCTCGAGGCCACTGAGGTCTGGTGAAGCCTAGTGAGTGCCAACACCTCCATAACTATACACATAGACATATAGACACACACATTTACACACACACATCTTGACATACACACACAGACATAGACACATAGACATACACACAGTCAGATACAGAGACACCCAGACTGAGATAAATACAGAGGGAGGGAGATACATACACACACAGAAATACAGAGAAAGAGAGAGAGACACAGAGACAAACACATACAGAGAGAGATACTGAAAGAGGGACACGCACACATACATACAGTCAGAGAGATATAGAGTGTTACACGTGAAGACAAACACAGAAAGAGAGGGAGACACACACACAGACAAAGAGAGATAGACGGACAAACAGCACATTCCTTCCTCCTGCCCCCCAACCGCATCACACTCCCTCCTCCTGCCCCCCAGCCCACTCCCTCCTCCTGCCCCCCAGCCCCAGCCCACTCCCTCCACCTGTGTGTCATCTTGGTTCAGTGTGTGTGTGAAAGAGGAGAGAGAGTGTGAGAGCGAGTGTGAGTGAGTGTGTGTCTGTCTGTGTGTGGGTCTGCAATTGTGTGTGGGTGTCTACTTTTGTGCGTGAATTTGTGTGATAGCCTGACTCGGTGTGTGTGTCTCTGTGTGTGTGTGTGTGTTTGTGTCTGTGTGTGTGTCTGTGTGTGTGTATGTTTGTGTGTGTCAGCGTGGCTCAGTGTCTGTGTATATGTCTACGCATCAGCCTGGTTCAGTGTGTGTGAGAGGAGAGAGAGTGTGAGCGAGAGAGTGACAGACACTGAGTGAGAGTGTGTGTGTGTCGGTGTGTGTGTCTGTGTGTGTGTGTGTATGTACTCGGTTACAAACACAAGGACTGTTACTGCTATCACTCAAATGACGAGTGACTGCACTCACTACGACACCACAGGACTCCACAGATTAAACCGCTCCGCACAGATCACATCCCCGCAAACCGCGAGAAAAATAATACCCCGAATTAGAAATGAATGAATAAATGTGGAAGAATGTTGTTGGAGCTTCAGTCCCTCTCTCCCCTCGGCCTGGAATGAA